GAAGGAAAAGGGCCAGCGACTTTGTTTTCCCCGTTATTATTAAAAAAAAACAATGAATGCATCATTTAAAAAATTACTGCTTTCAAAGCGAAGCATGACGCGTGCATAAATATCTGTTATGTGTAGAGCTGTAAGAAACGGGCAGTTTTAACGCACTGAGAGTTTGTGTTTGGGGTTTGAGTATTCAAGGGGGTAAAAGCCACGTTTTTGCCTTGATTGCATAGATCACCCGGAGTTCAGAGGTGGGAAAATTTTAATTTTGTGTAATTTGATAGGATGCGTGTTATTCATAAGCCACACTTGGTGTTAAATATTTTATATAAAGAGACAGCTGAAATTTTGATGGAGTGCCTGGAGGTGGCAGAGGGCACTGCTGTATGTGGAATTAATACTTTTCTGCTGCTGCAGGAAAATGAACGTGTGCTTATTGCTGTTTATTGTGAACACGCATAGTGGCAACAGTGCATGGAAGACTGCTAATGTCTTAGAGTCAAGTAGGAGATTTACAGTTATACGAAGGAACTGTTTCTTTTATATTTGTATAGATGTAGACTGAGGCCCTAAGTCACGCTTGAGTGTATCTTATGTTTGCACACACATTGCATTTGGAGGGCAGTGCACAATAAATGAAGGTATTGACCCCTTAGGGTTGTTGCATTGGCTTGTTTCGGTAAACTAAAATGCTACATTTCACCTGTAACCGAGTAAAACAAAGCGAGACGCACCAGCATCGACGACCTTCCCGATAAGCAATTAATTCCCACCATAATTGCACAGCCAGTGTGGGAAAGCTTCGTACTTGAGCTGAGGGTGATATATTACACGCGAGTCCTTCCCAAGTACAAGTCTTGGTTAATGGCATGACATCATCTAGAAATGAGTGCGCGCCCCAGCTTCTCAACGAATAAACAGAGGCGTATTGCAGAAAAAAAGCAGTATGAACGTGAAACAGGAGTTTTTGCAAGAGACACTGGAGCTGGACACTGGTAGTTACCGGTAAAACAGGATCGGTCCACGCCTCCTGTTCTTAAGGGAAGCCGTGCATGGGCACTGCCCCTGGCCTGCGAGCACACCTGCAGGTCGGTGTTCGATCTGCGGCGAGATGGAGCGGGTGGCGGATTTTCCTGTGACAGGAAGCCAGGTGCCGGACAGTGGGCTGGTTCAGGCGCAGCCCCAGCCCCGGCGTTCTCCACCTCACCCCCCCTGTGCTGTGAGCGACACCTCGGGGCTCTCGGATTATTTGACTCGTCGGTCGCGCTCTGCAAACACGCGCTGATCTGTCGGGGAGGGGGGCTGGGGGGGGTGCAGTGTCCATATTTCATGGCGTTACCTTTTAGAGTCGGGGGTTCGGCAGTCTGAGCCTTGGGGAACGCTCTGTCCCAGGCAGGCGCTCGCGAGAGGAGGGATCAAGTGATGATCATTCGGCTGCGCGGCTGCGTTTTAGCAGCGAGTGTCCTATATACTGGCATCCCCAGTGACCGCACTTCTGTAGCGCTCAGCAATCCGCCAGCGCCATGCGGGTGACCTCTATTTCTCAGATGCTCTGTCAAGCTCTCACCCCCTTTCCTTAGTCTCTGGTAAGCCTGCTCCTGCTTAGTGTTTAAAGCGATACCGTCCACATCCCTGCAAAGCATTTTAACGGAGAGCTAATAGCGGGTTTTAAAGTGAAAGACTTGCAGTTGGACATACTCACAGGCAAACTGTGCAAAATACAAATAAGTGAAATGTTACAGGGGGAGGCAGAATCCATCCACCCGTTTTCTAGCTGCCTTATCCCAGTACGAGGTGGTGGGGGAGCCGGAGTCTGTCCCAAGGCTGGATGACTGGATGAGCCAGACCGGCCTGTCTATTAAGTAATATTGAGGAAATGATCTCCAGGCTTTCTTGCAAACTTTTCTCTTCGTGCGGCTGAATGGAGCTGAGATGGAGCGTGCTCCTGTTTCCGAGAAGCCGAATGATAAATGCGTGTTGCATCGAGCATTCTGTCGACACGCTGTTCCTCCCTGTCACAGCTGTTTGCAGATGGAGCTGATGTGGAAGAAGGGACAGGACCCCCTCCGTCCCCCAGCCTGCAGCTGGCAGCTCAGTGCAGGGCCAGCAGGCATGGGTGTGGCGAGGAGGCGTGGCAGAGGGAGCAAGTTACTTTTCCATGATACTGGATATCGGATATCGAGCTCATGTGAAAATCGGAGGAGAGGGTGCCCAGCTGCAGAAACCCTGTTTGTGCCATTGCTGGTGTGAAGTGCCTCCGCATACTCTTGGATTGCCTGTGTGATGAAGCCTTGCTTCTTAAGCTCCTTAATAGCTTTCTTTAGTAACTCGGAGGGTCTTCTCTTGGCATGAGTGGGGCGAGGCAGATGATGACATTACCCTCCTTGATTTACACCTGCGTTTTCTGTCTCCCCTGCCAGGCTTACCTTCTCACCCCATCATCATGTTTAATTGCCCCTGGACTGGATTCAAGATCCCTAATATTATTTTATTTCAGGAAAAAATGAAAAAGGCGGAAAAAAATTAGGAAGCTTCAAGTACTTCCGTAATTTAAGAGAGTGTTAATGACTGGATTGTAACCTTTCTCCAATATACATCATCTGGTAATGGAGGAAACGATATCTTCTCCAATAGGCTTCATTAAAAACTTTCTATTAAATCTAAATGTGACGCCATGTACCACTGAAATTAATAGAGTTTGAGAATGTGTAATTCATCCTTATGGTGTTAAAATCCTCCCAGAACATTTTAACTGCATCGATTTTATTATATAAATATGATTTAATAAGACAGGGGTGCTTAAAAGTGCGTCTGAACAATAAAAATGCTCCACTGAAATCAATTGGCACTGATGTTGCATCATTAGTATAGAATTTGGCATTACCATTATAGATCACCTCTAGACCTGAATTATTTATATACTGAACGGTCTCTGGATGCGGCCGTTTTGAATTAAAAGGAAAGAATAAACATTTAATTCTCTCCCCTTTTTGAGAGACGGTCACCCGGGACGTGTGGCTGTTATGTCTCCCCATGTGTTTCCAAAGAGCTGAATTCCTCTCTGAAGTCCTTCCTCTTCTTCCTTCTTGATTTTCTCTTGAGTCTGCTTTATCTTCAGACCAAGCACCGTGTCGTGCACTTGTGTGTCTGATTAGTTTCTGGTGCCGTCGTGGCAAGTTTTCCGTCACTGGGATGTCATGAAAAGACATAAGAAAGGTAAAATAAAACGAGAGGAGTCCGTTCAACTCAAGTGTCTCATCCAGCTTTCTTGAAAGAAACCTGGGTCACGGCTCCAACAGCAGGGCAGGGAAGCCTGTTCCATACTCCCACGGCCCTTTGTGTAAAGAAATGGCACCTTATCTCAAATTTAAATACCTTTCCACTTGGTTTGCATCCGTGTCCTCTCGTTCGCAGTTCACTGTTCATTCTGAAAAAGTCCTCCGGGTTGATTTCATCAATGCCTTGGATGATTAAATCTCAAAGTCTTCTCTGTTCAAGACCAAAATGATTCGGTCTTGCCAGTGTGAGACTTTCCTTCATGCTCAGGACTGTGGGCGGTTACTCTTCTCCAGACTGATTCCAGAACAACAGTCTCTGTATTGTGGCGACCGCAGTCGCCCGCAATATGCCAAATGAGGCCTTATTAGTGTGTTCTACAATTTCAATATCGTAATATCCCTTGATTTAAATTCTACACTTTTACCAATGTGTAGAATCCTAATGCCATTTGCCTTGTTATTGGAGTTAATAGCTGGGGCCCGCAGGCCTCCGGCTCGCTGTTCCTCCTGCCCGTATTGATCGGGAAGCCAGGCTGCCCTGCTCTCTCCACTTCCTTCCTGCTTCCTGGGCTGTTTACTGTACGACTGGCTGCTGTTGTGACACTGTAATGATCGCCTCTCTCCCTCCCCTGAAACACCGTAGGTGGCTCATAAACAGACTTGCCTGTGATTATGTGGTTGTGGGCCACATTGCGATGTAAGAGTAAGCAGCAGTACTCAAGGCCCGGTAATTACAGTAAAAATCCTTCACTCTTTCATGATGGCTGGGATAATATTTTGAACACTTTCTTAAAAAAAAAAAAGAATAAGCAGCCATTGCAGCAAAGCAGGGAAATAAATTGACACCACCTCAGACAGGTAGCAATTATGTGTAGCAGGTGGTTCTCTAGACATTATACAGTGCAAGATAAAGGACTCATGCACTACACAGTAGGTACCTCTGCCGTGCTGGGGACAGATGCCCGACCACTGAAAAGGTTCCTCTTCTGTCGTGACTTTCTGGACAAAACGCACAGTGCAGGACTATGGCTGTGACAGTCCCGTCAAAATTCACAACTTATGTGCATCGGAAGAGACCAGTAACTGTTCACGTTTAATGTGTATTGGATTCCAGCACAGTTACAAAAATGCAGTTCCTGCGAGTTGTGTTTTTGTAACCAGCTTTAGGAAAACAAAGTGCTACGTTATGACCTTGCTCATACTGCTTTTTGTGCTGTAGCACTGATGGTTCTAAGGTACCTGGTAATCCGGGATCTGTCAAACCAGGTCAACCCTATTTTTAAGAAGTGAGTTAATTTATAAGACATGATGCAATCCGTGTTGGATTAGTCTTATTATCTTCAGTGCTGACTTTATTTAGATGTCCTGTGTTGCAGTATATCTACAGAAATACGTTTCAGAACTGATTCAGATTTGAGCTGAACCATTGAATAAAAAATAAAAAATTGAATGAAACTCCATAAAATATGATAGACGAGCAGGGTGTTATTTTGTGGTGTCCAGATGAGATGGGTGTAATTGGTGTGTGTGGAGTGAAAATATTTTCTGAAGACACAGGTGCTGATGGTCTCGTTGTGTTGCCAGACAGGGATGTTCTCAGTGTAGTTTTTCTTCGGCTGGAATGAAGTGGAAAGCGTGTTTCCAGGTTCACGTACAGGTGGTAACTTGAAATCTTTACACGGGAATGTGTAAATTGACTTGTTCTGTCTGTCTGGTTTTGTGTTTCCACAGGGCCACGTAGGTACAACAGCAACCAAAAAAATTGAAGTCTACCTCTCAATGCAGAGCGTGCAGGAGAAGCCTCACCCCATGACTGTGGTCACCATGGCCAACGCCAGAGTGCACGACCTCATCGGGCTCATCTGCTGGCAGTACACCAGCGAGGGCCGGGAGCCCAAGCTCAAGTAAGGCCAGGGGCTTCCCTGAACTCCATCCCTCTGCCTGGCGCCTGCTCCTATCCCTCTGCCTCGATCACCTGCCTCTCTCCTGCTCCTATCCCTCTGCCTCGATCACCTGCCCCCCTCCTGCTCCTATCCCTCTGCTTCGATCACCTGCCTCTCTCCTGCTCCTATCCCTCGATTAGCTGCCTCTGGCTGTCCCTCTTGGTTGACATGCTTATATTCTCCAGCCCTGGAGTCTCCACACTGACTCTCTGTGTGTTGTACCTGCCCACAGGCACTGCAGCAATTTGAGGGTACTTTGTAAAAAACAAAAAAAGTTACATATTTGACCAAGGAAAATGAGTATAAAACCTGCAAAGTGCAAAATGATGTATGTAGGGTTAAATAAGTCCAGCAGCAGTGTTGCCGAGAATGGAAAAGAAGAGGTTTGTCTTGGGAAAGACGGGCGTTGTGTCCGGCTGTCCGCACGGGATCCCCGCTGGGCTGGGAGGCCGAACAGCCGAGTCTTAGAGCAGTTCCCTCGTCATAAATCACAACAAGCTGGAGAACGGGATTTTCTTCAAAACCCTGCTGCTGGGGAGCCCGTCACCATCCATCATGAGAGCGAGAAGACAATCCCTTTCTGTTTATTTACCACCCCCCCCCAATCCTGGTCATTTGTTCCAGCCTGTCTCAATACGAAAGAGCAGACAAACCTCCCTCCCTTAGTCACTGTGTACGTTTCCGACTTGAGAACCCTGCTGGTCCCGCTAACGCCTCTTCCAGCAGCAAGCCACCTTAGTTTTTCCCAGGAGGTCTCCCCTCCAGGTGCTGGCCAGGCTCACACCAGCGCAGGTGTGAGAACGTCCCACCGCTCCAAGCCTTAAACCGCCCGTAGGAAAACGCAGCGCTCCAGCTGCCCGCACTTGCTCCTGAAGATCCCGGAGGTCGCAGGTCGCCTCCTGGATCCGCTGGAAGGAGCGGGACGAGCGGTTCAGGATCCTCGGGACATCCAGCCCGGCTCTCTGACCGCGTCCCACCCCGTCCGCTTCCTTTCCGGCCCGCCTGACGCCCTCAGCCAGCCGGTCACGGGAGCCGATCGAGGTGCACCCCCCCCCCGTCGTTAACGATGCCGCGGTACGTGGAAGGGAAAGCAGCTGCCCGAGGGTACCTTGATGTGATTGGCTACTCTGGGCGCTGCGCGTCGCATTCAACTGGCATGTCTGGGGTGGGGCTGAAGGCTTCCAGATCGGAACCAGGACCCGTGAAACTCAAGGTGCGGATCTCCCTGTGGAGGTGCGAAGACGTAGCCCAGAGGAGATGGAGGGAGGACCTATAAAAGAAGAGCGGAGTTGAAGACGCACATCTGTGGAGGAGTATTGCTGCCTCTCGTTGCCAGCAGTGTGTATTGAGCTGCACCGATTCGTCAGCGATGTCCCTTCAGAGCTTCCTGAACACAGATCCATCCTAGTGAGCAGAGGCAAGATCTCCAGGTGAATTAGCCGGAGTGAGTTAGGAGTCCGATGATGGACACCAGAGCTCTAGAAGATAGGGTATGGCTGACAATGCATCCAGTTAGTTCACCTGAGCCACGGGCGAGTCATTCTTAAAATGGCATTAGCAGAGACGAATCCGTGGAGTGAATGTAGTGCAGACCGCAGTGTCGTGCGAAGGATTCTGCCCTGTGCTCGGGCACGCCGGAGCGCTCGAGTCTCGCCGTGCCCGGCAGTGGGGGGGGTTCTGCCAGGGCGGGGGGGGGCGACGGGGACCCCCCCGCCCGGGGCGCAGCTGCTGCCGCCTCGCTCTGCTGTCCGTGAGGGCGCGGAGCGGCGTGGGGCGCTTCTGTTGGCACCGCGGGAGGGAATCGCTGCGCCTCCTGCTCCTGCCGACGGCGTGTCACCCCCAGTTTGGGCTGCCGGGAGAGCCTGTAGCGTTGCCAGCCCCTGTCTCCCTGTAGGGGCCGATGCGGCGTGCCACTACCAGAGGAGGCGCTGTTGTTCTTGGCCGGGCTTCCTGCGTCTGAGGGGGGAGCGCTCTGCCTCGCCGGCATGAGGGATGGCAGCTCAGCAGCTCCCCCTGTTCTTCTGCAGCAGCCCGTTTTAAAATCCGGCCGTAAATCAGCAGGCAACGCAAGGAGAGATCTTAGTTAGATTTATCGTCACGGAGCCTTGTAAACAAATATTGAAATAAGCCTTAATGCACATGGAGCAATAAGCTTTTAAAAGTGTTTTGGAGCAGTTTGTCATTTTTTAAGGTTGCAGCTTTTTCTTTGGCGAGACAGTGATAAAAAAAAAAATGTTTTAACAGACAAAGCAGAAGGTCATAAAATTTCTCTCTTTTTTTTCTTTTTGCTTAAATTAGTCATTCAAATGTACTTGCCTGTCTCTGGAAAGGTGCTGTTCAGTAAGCAGGGCAAATGGCCTGGTTGAGCTCAGCATTACTCAGTGCGGTGGCTGCTGTGAAATATTTCTCCGGGTTTGAATGGTTGAATGGTGTGATTACCACTGCAAATGTGTTCCTTCACCTAGATAGTCACCTACCTTTTTTTGCATCTCGTTGTAGATTTGTGTCTTTAGCTGTTCTGCAAACTTGTAGAAATTTATAGTGACAAATGCAATCGGATTACTCCCCTTTAAGTCGCTGAATTCGAAAATTTACAGTTTACATTTATATTAATGCATCATTATTACCCGGTTCATTTAATAAATAACTGCTGTGGTGACAGCGCTGGTGTAGATCACCTGGTTTGAGCGCTCGTAACAAAAATGGTCCTGTTAGAAAGGTTTGTGCATTAATTGGGAAAATTGCAAATCAGGTAGTCAGCCAAATAATTCATTGTCACATCCAATCAATAAACTTTGTAAATCAACTCACTTAATTTATAAATGATCTATATAGATCAAACGACCAATTAAACAATTAGCATACATTTCGCAATTAATTAATTTAACCATTAATCACTTAATTAAAGTTCAAAATTTAAACACTGAGTTTGGAAACAATCTGACACATGAGCGTTTAGGCAATACGTCATGCCTTCAGAGAGCAGTGAGACACTGGTAGATTTACTGTGCTAAAAAGCATTGCAATTAGCAGAGAGGATCTGGAGGGCAAGACGGGTTGAGCATATGGTCTCAGTCTCCCGTTTTAAAAGGAAGGAAATTGGAGGCTTCCAAACGCTCCTGCTTATTTGCCAGAGAAATGTGCTGTATTGAAGAGTCTAAAAACCCTGGGCATTAAAACAAATGCTGCTCCCATCTTTACTGACTCTTCCCAGACTGTTGTTTCGTTATCTGAAGCACAGCAGTTAAGATTGTGTCTTAGCAGGTCTTTCTTTGCATATTGCCGACCGTCCTGTGTAGCTGCAAAAGGATGCACTGGGTTGCATTATGTTAATGCAACACTAATAAAAGGGCAGGCTCTACACAGCAGTGGGTGTGTCTGGTGAAGGCCTTTCGATTTTTTTTAAAACTAATACCAAAGGTGTCCAAAGCAATTTCAAAAGACGTGAGTGATACTGTTCATTCTGTGCACCTTATGGCATCGCAGTGTCCGCCTTCTGAGGCACCCTAGATGAGGCTGAAGAAATTCTAAGTGAACAAATGACTATATTCTGAAGTAAAATTGTAATAAAGCACAGTAAAATCATTGTAGAGCACACAGAGTTATGGTAGATTTCACCACAAACTATGGAAAAGCATGGCAAAGCAAGGGCAGGGCATGGTTTAAGCACCTGAAAGTGTGTGGAATGTGTTTGTTCCCTGATAAACTGACTGTATGGAAGTGAAAACAAGACTAACTGACAGTCGCATGACCCCCCCCACCTCGTCCAAGGAAGGACATCCAACAGGAGCTGACAGAACTGCCGTCAAGAAGTCTTTACCTCCATGATCTAATCAGGGACTTTCTGCCAGGAGAAATTAAGGGGTGGTTTAATTGCGGACACAGGGAATCCCCAAAAGCCCTGACTGTCATACCTCCCAGTTCCACCCAGCTGAAACGCAGAAGACGGATGTTGAAACACCTTACGGTCAGATTTCTTCTGTTGCTGTCGATTCAGATGTGTTTGCGCTGCCTGCACAAAGAGAGCAAGGCAGGACCTCCTGCGAGCAGAATTGTATCTTGTCGGCTCTCGGTTTTATACGACTGTCTTCAGGCGACGAAGCTGTTGGCCTTTTGCACTGTTGCCAAATTCAGTTTGCATTCAACAAAATAAAGTAGGCATGTTCAGGGCAAGTAGGAAAATGAAAGCATGTTACATGTTGAAAAGTGTTCTTAGGCTATAAACCCTGAGATCAGGGCCCAAGTATTGAACGGGAAAGGAGTATCCAGTTTAGCTTAACTTCTTCTTGGAAGTGAGGCTGTGTAGCCTGGGTGCGGAGAATTGAAGGGTCTTGACAAAGCAAAAGTTTGCCACCACCGCTAATAAGTCACCCCAGGAACCCAGAAAACTGAATGCTGAGTTTCAGGACGCCTCAGCTCCCACACCGAAGGCACAAGCAGCTGACCAGCTCTTCCGCAGGGGCTGGAAATGAATGTTTTGTTATTTTTCAGGATTCTCTGTACGTAAGCTGATCCCCTTTTAAAGCTGTGCAAAACTGCTTCACGACGGCCTTTTTTTCTTTTCTAAAGAAGCTTAATTGCACTCGGGCATAAATTGTGCTCCGTTGTGCCTGTGTTTTGTGTCGCCTGGGTTGTTGTGTCGTGCGAGATGGTTTCTCTGCCTCTTCGACGTGCCTGGCGACGGGGTGGGAAGGTAGCCAGGGGCCGCCGTGGGCAGAAGTGGGCGGCTGTTTGTCTTCCTTCTTCTGCGCCGCGGTGTGCCGAACGAACACAAAGGCCGGCTCTCCCCAAGCTGCCGGGTGTACCAAGGGGAACCGGGCCGGAGTTGTGAGAATGTGAATTAATGAGGGAGACCCTGGGATGGGGCGGCGGGTCCCGTTGATGTTGGCGCTGGTCGCGGCCCTGCTGCTGACGGCCCAATCAGTCTTGCTGCCTTCGGCGGGAGCCGATGGTCGCGGCTCCGAGCCGCTGACCACTGGCCTTGGCTCCCTCTCCGTCCACCTGTCTCCCCCCTCCTCTGCGCCTGCTTCCCTCGCCCACCTCTCTCTCTCCGTCTCTCCCTCACCTTGCAGCGAGAACGTCAACGCGTACTGCCTGCACATCGCCGAGGACGACGGCGAGGTCGATACGGATTTTCCGCCTCTGGATTCCAACGAGCCCATTCACAAGTTTGGCTTCAGCACCCTGGCGCTGGTGGAGAAGTACTCTTCACCCGGGATGGCAGCAAAACAGTCTCTCTTTGTGCGGATGTAAGTGCCTCAAGCAGGTTTCTTTTCCTTCTTTCATTGTCCCCTTTTTAGATTCGGTTGAACCGTTAAAGCCCAAACCGTTTTAACATTTAGAAGTGAAATCACATGCTGTTTTTGGGTTGGTAGTAGTGGCGGCGGGGGGAGGGCTGTGTGGGGGGAAAGGAGAAAGGAAAGAGAAGAAATTATTCTGTCTTCTCCCTGGCAGGTTTTTGGGGGTTGCAGAGTGCGCTGCCGTGTGGTAAAACTAGTTTTCTGCTCCGCGTGATGGGCTTTCGTTGCGAATAAATAATCACAACAGCTGGCAGATGGGGGTGCGGTTGAGCCATTTATTGCGCCATGCGTTTTGACAACAGCTCTAAGAGTGCTCCAGTAGTCTCTGTAGAGCGTTCTCTTGTGGCCGGATTGCTCCGCCATGTGCTGCTAGATGACAGGACAGGCCGGAGGCACATGGCATCGCCTGCCCAGGAAGTGCACCAGGGGTCCCCTGGGTACTCTTGACCCCATCTCCCCGCGTTGTGAACCGCTGCTGCCGTCTTAATGGGCACGCAAGGAGGTCAAGGCGCCTTTCTGTTGGAAGGAATGCCGGGTTTAAACGGGCCGTTGCGCTCTCTCGACGGTAGGTCTTCGATCCCGCGTCTGTGGGGTTGAGGGGCTCGAGGGTTCTCTGCAGGCCCGGAGCGGGCTCGTGCTCGGCGCCGCTCGGGCTGAAGCTTCCGCCAGGGGCTCGGGGCAGAGCGGGGTCCGCCGCTGGCCGCGCGGGGGTTATCCCCCCCTTCCTCCTCCTCGGGGGAGGGGAGTTTAGGAGACAGGAGCTGGGGGAATGGAGAGACGGTGTTTCGGAACGCCGAGGGGTTTTTCGGTTCTCAAACTAAGGCCTGCAAGCAGCCATGTCGGTCTCATGGTCTTTTGTCCTCATATTTTGCATCTGAAGCAGCTTCAGTCTTGAAATTTGTCAGCTGTAGTGCCGTAAGGTAATAGTAGGCTAAGGCACTCCGTGGCTTGGAAGCAAAAATAACTTCTTAAGGAATTTGTCAGGGAAGATGGGTCTGGAAAAACGGGCACATTTTGAAGGCAGTGATTCAAGTAAACGTCTATGTGTGTTTAATTCAGTCCAGTAAATCTCATTACCCCGCGCTAATTACTGAACTTCATAAGCTGTGCTTCTGCTTGGTGAGGTGAATGTGTTCCATGGGCCAACTGAAGATCCAGAGTTGCTCTGCAGCTGCGAAGGATAAATGTTTGTCGTTGTTATTGCACTGTGCCAGAAACCTGCCATTTTTACAGATGGTTCCACTCTGTTCTACTTGTCCAGGGTTCCCTCCAGGTTTTTTCTCAGCTTTTCACTCGCACACACACACACTTTGTTTTCCCGAGTTTGTTAAAAGCTGTGTGATGTGGTTGCTGCTTCAAACACGCGTTCATCATCGGCTTCCCCCCGAATCGCTGCTCAGCTCTGCTCCAGAGCCTGCGTTCTGAAAGCTGGTGGTTTTGTTCGAGACATTGCAGAAATAAGCTTCAACGAAGGAACTTGTTCTTTGGTTGTTTCTGAGCTGCACAGGGCTGGCGAGGCCTTTCAGAGAGCAGGCCCACGAGGTGTGTGCTGTTGAGGGTGGGGAATGGCACAGCTGGGTTCGGCCGCCCCAGTGAGAGGGAGGCTCACTGACAGCAGATGGTTTCGGAGTCTTGCGCCTCCTCCTGGCCGTGAGAGGGGTTCACACCAGCCCCAGGGCAAGAGGGCACGGGCGTGTCGTGGCACTGAGTGTCTGTGCAGGCGAAATCCTCCCGTGCCGCCACACTCGGCCCTCATGTGCAGTTCACTGCCCTTGGTTTACTTCGCTTTTTAAAAAAAAATCAAACAGGGAAAGGGTAACCCTAACTCCCAGCGTTCCAGGGTGCAAATGCTCTGCTCTCTGAAAGCTGACAGCGATGCTTTGCAACTTCATTCTTTCTGTCTCGCTGGGTAGCAGCCTGGGTGTGGAACCTCAGGGCAGGGGGAGGTGTTTGAACCCGGCTCACAGAGGCAGAGACTGGCACAAAAAAAAAACCCCAGCAAGTTTCTAAAATAGTTCCTCAGCAAATAAAAATTCAGTTACACCTCATTTCCTTCTGAGTGTGGAGGGGACCTGCCCGGGACCTGAGACAACAGAGGCGAAGAAACGCAATTACTGACACACTCACAATTATAGTGACAGGTGACAACCACAGCAAACTTTTAATCATCCTAAATGCCGTTTTAAAGAACCGTGTGATGAGACATTACAAAAGGGAGCATTTTCTTCTTACTTTCACTCCAGTTGACAGTAAATGGGCTGTGACACATGCGTACCACTTGTTTCCTGCATTCCTGCATGATAAATGATACTGCTGAAACATAATTACTCACATTTGGAATATATCCCTTCTTTTTTAAAATGTTATTTTTATTTCTACTACATTATAAACTGAGAGAAAATATAAAGAGTGCTCTAAAACTGTACACAAAATCATACAAAGATCTGCTCACTGTTAAAAAGCCATGCATTTAAGACACATCTTATGTTCCCAGCTGTTAATAATTGGCTAATGTGATTCCCAAATCATGTAAACTAAATGAATTTCTGTCCCACTGCATGCAAATATCTTTCCTTAGATGTGTTCTGTATTTTTTTAAGTATCTCTCAGTTGGAAAAAGAGACTCAAAGCCCAAGAATGCAGAAAAGTTTGCAAACGAATAAAAAAAAAAACGCCAAATGAGAAATGTGTCTGTCATTAGTTGCTAATGCAAGAAAGGAAATCGCGGACAGTTTTCCCCCTGTAAACATTCATCACTTGAACAGAGAATATTAAAATCCAGATGTCTGTCATAAGCAAATATATATGTTGGATTACAGTTTAAATTTCAGAATTCTGACTTGGTTTCCTTTTTGGCAAGAGAGCCTGTCTGGAAAAGAGCTGCTGTGCTCTGCCTTTCTCTCTCCTGCCCCCCCTCCTCCTCCTTTTCTTTCTGTAGAAATCTTGGTTTTTATTTAGGGCTTTAAACACAGACTAAAGCAGAACTTTCCAGGATAATGGGTAAGCACGGATGAGGAGTGTCAGGTGGAGCTCAGCGAAAGACATTTAACGTATCTCATATCTGTGTCTCTGAAGTGTCCAGGAACGCTTGAATCACTCAGTGTCAAACAAGTGCTGCGTAATGAGAGTAGCCTCTTCACATCTTGAGATTCACACGTCTCCCTGCTGTCATTCAGGGGAGCGCAAAGAGAGAGATGCTTTCAAGTCTTTTTTTTTTTTTTTTAAATGGCTCCCGCTATGATATTAATGCTCTTTACATCTTGAATCGGCTCTGCAGGATTATTCCGTCTCGTTTCTGGGGGGGGGGGGGGGCTTGCGGAGTCGCTGGTGGGACTGGATCTTTTTCAAGTGTTGAAGAAGACGAAGTAATTATCATCGTGGGGCGGGGGGGTATTTCTTTCTCTAAACTGCCTTGATTGTTATTATAATAGGAAACAGGGTCGTGGGTTTAGAGTTTTTGCGGTTCTGTCAGCGTAATTCCCCATCCTCTGACTTTTCCTTTTTTCAAAGAAAAAGGGATCTGGGGGTATTGTGTGCCGGGAGAGGAGCTGTGAACTCCCAAACAGCCGTTAGATCACAAACATGTCTTCCCGGGTCCCTTGAGAAGCCAAATATCTGAAAACTCCCATCACCCCTTTATTCTCGCACCCCGCTCCTCCCCCTCCCTTCCTTTCCCGCTCCCTGGAGACCTGCCTCCCGACGTGCCGGTGGACTCGGCCGGAATGTGGGCCTGTGGGAAAGCAGAGGCGGGGGGCCCTCGCTCCGTCGGGCCCGTGCCAGCGCAAGCTGTTCGCCGCCCTGCCCCGCGGCAGCTCTGAGCTCCGGCCAGCGGCCCGCGGCCCGCGGGGCGGCCACTCCGCTGTCACACCTGGTACACGGCCGACTTTGAGCAGGGAGCGCGAGTGCTCGTCATGCCCCACCTGAGCCCAGCTGCGAAGGCAGGGTCGCGATGAAGCTATTAGCTGTCTTTCCACTGGCACCACCAAGAGTTCGTATACATCTGTGTCTTATTTTCTTTTCTGGCACAATCAGTCGCGTGAGCTAAGCAGGCATGACCGGATTTGGCGAGTTCCAAGGACTTTGGCAAAGTTGCGCAAGGAGAAGGCCGGGAGGCAGGGAGAGCGAGGGAGAAGAAGGGGCATACTGTGCTCTCCGTGCCCTCCGCTGCGCTGGGTAGAGCAGGGGCAAACGCCTTATTGCTTCACCGCGGACGCCGGAGGGCCTAAAGGGGCCGGATCCGCGCTTTGGAGGCCTTGGCGTTTGGCATGGTCTGTCACGCCAGCTCGTGGGGCTGTCACGCCGACTGGCACGGGGCCAGTTTTTTTTACTCACCCTGCAAGCCCCCCGACTCGCCTCGCGAGCGAGGAAGAGGAGGGAAGCGAAGGCGTTTTTGCGGGCGGCACAGTTGCGCCCTGGCGATCGGCGCCGTGGCTGTCGGCGGCGCTCCTGCGAACCTGCCTCTGTGTGGCTCGACTTGGGCCTTCTGAATAAAATGAGCCTTTTGAAAAAAGTCTTTGAAGTGCACGAGCGTTTCCTGAATCCAGGAGGAAGTCAGAAAAGCTGTGCAGCAGCATCCCTCGGGTGGAGAGCCTCCTCTGGGAGCGGGCGGGGCTCCAGGTCCTTTGTGCTGGTGCAGACTGTTCGACTTGACAGTGACCCCCCCCCCTCACCTGCCTGGGGGGTCTCCGCTCGGCCTGCTGGGAGGAGGAGGAGAGGAAAGTGTCCGGGGCCATCGCTGATAACTGAGCTCGAAGGGCCCGTTCGCCCTCTGCCAGCGCGCATCCGCGACCGCGAGTACATGCGTATCGCTGAACCTCAGACACGCCTAGGACTCGCGCAGGAAACGCGATCATCTGAGTGATTTAAAGCTGAATTCAGCCTTTAGCTGGCATGCTTTTAGTTATTTCTTCTCCGAATTGCAATGCCATGAGACAGCATCTTCCAAAGTCTTTCCTACGGGCTTTGTGTGTGTGTGTAAGGGGGGGGCGGCTGGGTGTTGTCTTTTATTTATACGTAGCGATGCAGCTTTTATATATTTATATTTATTTGCACCCCGAGCGTTTGTTTTCGTTTCTCTCCCTTGAACCCTGCCACCCGGGCTCTGCCACGCCGGCTGTGGAGGAAGATAGAGAGGCGGGCTGGCTCAGAGTGATCACTATCATTAACATTCGCGGGGGGTTCACTTATCATTCCTGACTGCAGGGACATGGCAGCCATTATGAGACGTCCGCAGGTGTAGCGTGATGATACATATTGCATTGTGCCACAATGGATTTATGTATTCGGTAACAAAAGAAAAGTCTAATGAAAAAATACAGAAGGCAATCCTTTATTCCTTGCTTTTCGCTCCCTCTCCGCTTGGATCTCTCTCTCCGTAATGCCCGACAGCGAGAAGTGCCAGGGAATCCCCCCCGCGCGCGCGCTGTTGCCCGGCCATTGGGCGCCTCCCCGGCGCAGGCCTGGGCTCCCGCTGCTGCCCCGAGAGCTGAGCCGAGCGCAGGCGGCTCGAACCCGGCTCCTCACCGGGGACCCGAGGCTGGAGAAAGTGAGCTCGGGGCAGCTGATGGCAGGCCCTTCGATCGGGGGGGGGGTGTCGGCTCTTTATTCCTGGGGTGGCAACCTCAAGCGTTCCAACAGCCTCCGTTTTCATGCTTTCTTTTTTAAATAAAAACATTTTAATTCAGAGCGCGGCGTTTTCCAATCGGAGGAGGCCGTTTGACCCGACTACCTTGCTTATTGGTGGTTAATTGATCCCAGGAACGCAAGGGTATCGGTTTCAACACCATTGTTGGGTGGATTGTTCCATACTCCCGCATCCCTTTGTGTACAGACGTGCTTTCTTTTCTGCGAAGAGGCGTTCGGAAGCCGGTGCTGGCGTGTGGGCGCTCTCCGCGGGCCTTTGATCCAATGACCGAGCAGAACGAGACCAGCCGCCAGCCGGCCGAAGCTCGGGTCCCGCTGCTTGTTCGGTCTCCAGTTGTAGCCGATTGACGGTGGCGTGTTTTGATTTAACATCCAACCTCATCGTAGTAATTGCCAACAGCTGCGTTTTCTGTAATTTTTTAGCGCTGTGTTTCAAAGCGGGGTTTGAGGTGGTTGTAACCCAGTTCTCTGAACAAAGCCTTTCTATTGGCGCTGCTCCTGCGTGGCCAGTGGTATAAATAGAATCCGTAATGGGCAGGACTGAGGTGCCATCACTCATCTCCACTCACGAGCGGAGACCGGGATCAGGTCTTTCCTCATTTTCCTAATGATGCTCTTGTTTGGTTTTCTTTTTAGTTTAAGAGTTTGCAGAATTCCCGACTAATGGACACTATTCATCAAAGACTTTGGCCCCCGAGTCCACTTTTCCTCCGTAACTGGTGAAAGAAAGAAAAAAAAAGACTCAAAGACAGAAGTGTAGTGGCTTATTTTCAAATGAGGCAATTAAAGAAAACAACAGTGACACATTCGGAGTGAAGTCTGTTCTGAATGAGATGTCCCCGGCTGGGGTGCTGTTGGTCATTGCTTCCCAGTGCTGGCCCTTCATCTGAAAGCTCAGTTACCTAAGTAAGGAATAATCATTTCTTTTTAGGTCTCTTTTTAAAATGTTTTCAGCCCCAAAAAGTTTGGTTGTAAGCTTCCTCTTAGACATCTTGTTGAAGCTCGAAAACCTACACCTTTTTAGTAGGTCTTGTGAAGCTGTTTAGTTAATGGTTCAATAACACAATTATGAGTTTAGTCATCAAGAAACCCATCAGGCACTGCATTCCCAGGCCCGGCAAGCCCAGTTCTGTGGCGCTGATCAGACCGCACCAGGCCCAGTGAGGCCCGTTCGCATGGTGCTGATCAGTCCACACCAGGCCCGGTGAGGCCCTTTCGCATG